ACAAAAGCAATTAGAGAATTGGAACCAGAAACAGAAGTTACGATATATGATTGGACATACTTTTGGAATAGGCTAAAGATATCTAAAGGAGTACACTGCACAACAAGAAGTAGTACCAGAAGAAGTGCATTCATAAAATGCATAATGAACAAGCTTCCAACTCTAGAAAAACTGAACAAAAGAAGACCAGACATATATACAACAACAGAATGCCAAATGTGCCAAAACAAAATAAAAGAAACACAAACACATCTGACAGCATGTAAGAAACAAAAGAATCTGTGAAAAAGAATTCAAAAAGTGATCATTGCAACAGCCTGGAAAGGGTTAAAACAAGAAGAAAAAGTTTGGGTCCCTCCATATATATTATATACAGCACTTTTTAAGAAAACAGAAGCAGAAGAAATCAAAATAAGAGAAGCATTAATTAAAGGTCTTATTTCAAAAGAAACGCAAGACAGATTAAAGCAACTCCTAAGTACAAAGTCAAGGCAGCAGTTTATGAAAGTAGTAGCAAGAACAGCCTAGGATACATTTTATGAACAAGTATAGAGAATTCGATATGAGAAGGTCAATGAATAGGAGAAAAATAAAGAAATAACAAGTAGAATAAAAAGAAGAAAAAAAGAAAAGGAAAAAGCATCAAGGAAAAAAGAAAAACCAAATTGGCAATTAATTGAAGAGAGAAAAGAGAAATTGAAAGAAAAAGAAAATCAAATCGAAAAAGAAGTACAGAAAACAATTTTAGAGCTTGTTATGAAAGGGAGAAGACCCTTTCATTATGGACTTTAAGTAGATAGACGAGCAGCTTACTTCTGCTTGAAGTAATGCAGCAGGTTGCACTTAGGTACCATTAGAGTGGCCAGGTGATGCTGGGCTTAGTTGTTAAGGATATTTATGTAATTGCAAATGTAATTTCAAAATCTTAATAAAGCACTAGCATGACTGCTTAAGGGAAAAAAAATAAAAATAAAAAAATAAAAAAAATATAAATGTATTTAATATTATATAAAAAACTAACAAATTTTTTTAAAAAAATTTAAATAATAATTATAATAACAATATAAAAAGATTTAAAGAAAAAGAAAATAATTAAATTCATTTATATATGCTATATATAATTCTTTATAAAAAAATAATAATAATAAAAAAACAATTTTTAAAAAACACAAATAAGTTAACATAACTTCTAAATATAAAGTTAAAACAACAATTTGCAAGTATAGTAATAAAATCATTTTGAAATATATTTTATAAAGTATAAAAAACATAATGTATGATCTTATCTTTAATAGTTAAAAAAAAAAAACATAATGTAAAGAACTAGTAAATAAAAAAAAAATAACAAACAAGATAAAAAGAAAAACTTTTTAAAAAAAAACATAAATAAAGAAAGTAAATTAGCAAATAATAGAAGAAAAAAAAAATTTTTTAAAAAAACTAGAAAAACAATGTTAGAACTTGTTATAAAAAGAAAAAAACTTTTTATTATAAACTTTAAGTAGTTAAACAAGCAACCTACTTCTGTTTAAAGTAGTGTAACAGGTTGCACTTAGATACTGTTTGAGTAGTTAAATTATATTGGTTATATAATTATATATATATATTAAATGCTAATAAAAAAAAATTTAAGATCATAAACCGATACTCTACTAATGCGATTTAATACGTATTATTGTTTTTTAATAAAAGTTTTTATATATCGATATATTTGAAATAAAATATTTTATATAGTATTTATATTTTTTTGCAAAAATTAAAATTAAAATATAATCACAAATAAAGGTCCAACTTTTAGATTAACAAAGTTTTGAGAGTTCTGAACATTTTTACTTAGTATAACTGGTCTTGATTAATAACAACTATGGTGCATTTTAGTAATCGATATGTAGCATAAACACGTTAACGTTAAAATTTTTTAGGGTGGTCGCACTAGTCAATGTTATGTACCAATCAAACAACAGTTGAACAATGATTTTCACATATATTCCACACGCCCTGCCCTACATTCGTAAGAACTTTATAAGCCGCAGTTCCTTCCTGATGAAAAATTTGTGTTGAAAATAGCTTTTTGTACGTACCAAAAACTTTCAACGTCACCTTGTTTGTATAGAATCTACACTTATTAATCAAAACCTGAGGTGAAAAAAAACAATAAAAAAACAAACAGCAAAAATTCTTCCTTCGTTATTGTAATGACCTTCAAGGGCTATTCTGCCCTAGATCTTTTAACCTATACTCTTGCATAAGTTACTATGGACACATATGCTTCACACTCTTCAAAGGGGAAGGACACTAATGTATCTGGTGATGATTCTTTAACGGTAGGTTTAAATCTTAGAATCTTTGCTTGATTCAAAAGTTTGAAATTACTTGCCTTAAGAAGGTCGATTTGACTTTGGGACCTTTTCGGTGGCTTAAGTAATATTCTCGTTACTTTCAAGAACGGCGACTCGTACTTTTTTATCTCTTTTAATCCTCAGAATCTCTTGAAGATAACGTTGAGCCTATTGCTAGAAGCCAGTGGCTTAAATATGTATCACGTGCCATGCGCAGTAGAAAATACTAATCCATGCCCATATTTATTAATTTTACAGTCAAACATACAGGAACTTAGAAAAAAGGCCGAAGAGCTCAGAAAACAAGAATACAAGTAATTCCTGCTAATTCGCGTAAATTTTCTATTATATTTTGTGCAACAAGACTTGGTTTTAATCGCGTTCTCGCTGTAAATTTAATGCATTCGTTAGAGAGATTCTCGATAGCCGCGAATCCGTATTGAAGGAATTGTTCTATATGATAAGTAAATCTGATAAATCTGATTACATGACAGAGATAGACGTTTCCAAAGTCGATCAAACAAAATTGCAAGAATTTTTGCACAAACACCAGCTACCTGAAAATATGGATGCACTGAAAAGGTTGGTCTGTCATTGGCTACTTTTTTGTATAACAGTGGTGGGAAACTTTGGGTGGCTTAGTAATAATCATGAGCTATCAAACGTGATTCATAAGATACTAAATAACTATAAAACTTTAACAATTATCTTTCGTCATGTTTATCGAAAACTTCTCGCTTCATATTAGCACGCAACCCATTTTCAAAACTGCTAGTCAAAGTGACACATTTTTAACAAACAAATCCCAAGTATCACAAACATATCAACCGAATAATCAACCGAATATTCAGTCACAAAACCAAAACGACCAAACAACGCAAGTGAGGAAACAAAAACGAGTTCCACTACCTCCCGTTGAACGTATGATAACTCGCGCTGCCAGTGGTGCGATTAATCCAAAAAGTGTCGACGAAATTCTAAAAGACGCGGAGGTATGTGTGTAAATTTCTTTCGACAAACAACTTTATATACTATCAAACGTATCACCACCACCACCTTTTTTTCAAACTACGGCAGAGACACTCTTCCATTGGCTCCTCCGTTACTTCAACTTCGCCAACGACTGCAACTATCTTTAAACTTCCCACCACCAAACTTACTATTCCACAAAAGAAACAAGCGCCCCAGCGAGTTTCTACTGTTTTGCCTAGGAACGGGGAAGCGAGACCAATGGTTGCTGCATCGATGGGTCGAGGATTGGAACATAATCAAGCTCGATCATTTGATCGAGAAACGCTTATCTCAAATTATAGTAATCAACCACTATACAAATTACTTCAGAGTCCAAAGAAAGCCTTAATAACTGAAAATTGGACGGTAAAAAATTTAACCCATCTTACTTTCAAACATTTCAATTTCACACAAACTTATGACACATTTAAATCCAAAGGTTGCACGTGAAGAAATTGAAAATATTAGAGTGTTAGAACGCATTGATCAATTAAAACATAATGGAATGTGGAGTTTTCAGCAAATTGAGTCATTTAGAGATCCACCGAGAAATTACACTCACTGGGATTATTTACTTGATGAAATGGTACGCGATTATGTGATTGAAACATTCTCGACAAAATTAGATTTATTTTACTTCGTTTAATTGTATTGAATTGACTTCAATGAAAATATTTCAGTCGTGGATGCAGAAAGACTTTAAAAAAGAACGAAAGTGGAAAATTGCTGCAGCATTCCATGTGAGTCGTTGGGTGAAGGCGTGGTTTCAAGCTGAAAATAAAGCGGATGTATGCGTTAATGTATGAAATTCGTTATGATTAATTAATATATGATTTACTGGACTTCATAGCGGAATTCAATTGATTATTTTAATAATACGTTTTATTAGAGTCGAATACCTGGTAGAAATACACCCACACATCAAATTAATATACATGAAAGTCAAGAGGAAGCATATTCGAGCAGTATTTGTACTTTATTAAGTTTCATGGGGTTTTTTTTTATTTTATCATATGTGGAGTAACGCGAATTCAAATTTTTCATAGCCACGTCTGATGGTGAAATAACTAATATAAAACCCGAGCCTGATGACGGAGTACAAGATTTGAATGATCTTCCAGTAAATCAATCAATGCTGTCTGATGAAGTAATGATTGATGTCGAGTCGGTCGATGATGACACATCAACAAGGCCTGATGCCAACCAAGCTAATATAAAAAGCAATGATTCTATAATAATGCCACCCCCTATATCGCCTAGCGTTTTACTGACTTTGCGGCAAAGAGTTATCAATTTACCAGCAGATGCATTTTTATGTTGTTTAGATGGACCAGATGGTCAAGTCTATGATGTGGATTCAATATTTCCAGATCTACCCCCATATGAACCACGGCCTTCTGATAAAGATGTTTACTACGATAACATTCATTGTAACCGCATTATACCAATTTCGAAACACATGCACCGTCGGCCAAAGAGTGGTAAGGTTTCTATGGCTCAATCGCTATTAAAAATATTTATCAAATGGCCATAAACTGAAAAAAATAGTTTTTTTCTTATTTGGTTTGGTTGGTTTTTTTTTTTTTTCCTGAAAAATGAATAAATAAATGAATTATGAAGAGAAAGCTGCAAGAAAAAGAGCTATTAAAAAAATGAGAATAGAGAATGATTGTGCAGACGTTGTTGACAAGGCGACTAGTTCAATGTTGTGTAAGTTCGAATTTTAGTTTCAAGTACCGTGTTTTGAGTGTCTAATGTAATTTTATTGGATAGTGTTTGCACCACGACAACCTTATGAGCAGCAGCCTAAAATTCATGTCAAAGCACCACGACCTGATCAAGAACCATCTTACGCATGGTATCCAGAAGATGATGAATTGTTAATGTCTTTAGCGAAGCAGTACCAATACAATTGGGACTTGATTGCTGATACATGGAATTCCCTTCGTGGTATTCTTACTGGTTATCCAAGGACTCCTTGGGCTTGCTTTAATCGTTGGACGCAAAAAGATGATATGTCTCAGTTTGATTGTCAAGAATGGACTGAGGAATCTAATAGTATATTAACTCCTGATGGCAATGATGAAACTTCTTCATCGATAGCTGGTCTTTCCACAATACCCAGTAGGCCAAAAAGAGATATACCGAAAAAAATACCAAGACAGGAAATTATGAAGCAGCGTCGAAATTCTAATTTGATGGAAGCTATGAGGAAGTCAGCAAAGAAACGACAGGATGCGGCTATGAAACAAGGTAATAAACTAAATCATATATATATTTCTTTATTGGACGAATCTAATTGTAACATGATGTTACACACCTTATTTGTAACATCTTACTTGGTATAGCCAATAAAAACAAATTAAAATTCGTGTAACCCAAACCCTAACTCTAAATTCTATTGGCTAACTACAGAGGTGTTACTTGTAACAGTTGTTACGAATACATTTTTCTTTATTTGTCATAATTATTAAAATGTGATAATGTGACTTTATGTTTAGGACAAATTAAGAAAACTATAGATCAGTCTATTCCATTCGGGAATAAAGTTCTGTCTCCAATCGAATTAAGTAGAATAAAATCAGAGCACGAACGTCAAGCACAAGCAGCTTTACTAGAACAACGACAAGCTGCAGCACTTGCATATCAAGCACATGTACGGGTATGATGTTAATAAATCTTATTTAGCTTCTTGCAACTTTTACATATTTTACATTTCCTATTTACTCTTGTAGCCTATGATAATGCGACCACAGGCTCCTGCTGGGATGCCTTATAATAGGCCACACGTTCCTGCAAATCATATTCAAGCTTTGGTTATGCATCAACAACGCGCTGCCATGGCGCAACAACGTATGCCTACTCAACCGATAACACAGGCCGCTGCTATGGTTCAAGCGCAATCGATTCATGTGCAACATTATTACAATCAGCACCTTCGGGCTCAACAAGTTCAAGCACATCGCGCTGCACAAGCCATGTTGCAGCAAAGTACTCATACACCAGGGCTCCCAAGCCAGTCTCTTCCATCACAACAACTCGGACAACAGTCTCCATCCCAACCACCGCAACAACCGGCACCTCAATCGCAAGTTACGCAGCCATCACAACAAGCTACACAACAGTAATGAAGCGGTATTTGTAAATAAACGTCTGTATTTTGATGCGGGTAGGATAGGACTACAGTTTTCATATAATTTACAAAAATATTTTAGTGAATAATGAAGTACTGTGATTTAATACTAATATCATACCTAATAAATTTACAAAAAAAAAAAAAATAAATAAATAAATTATCGAACGATTATCTAATAATCAATGAGTGTCTCAAATTAATTCTTGAATCCGTTGAAAACATTAGATGAATTTTTGTCTTATTCAGTAAATAATTGATTGAAATTGGTTTATTTCTGTTTAAGCTTGTTTTGTTTTATTTCGTCCCAGCAATTTTTCAACTTATAAATCTATATTAGTTACGGGTAGTGTTTAAATTTCAAATTTGGGTTTGTTTTTTCGAATTTTAAAGTTTTAAGAAAATTAATATTACAAAGAATTGATATATATATATTTTCTTGATATTATATTTTAACCGTACTTAATTTTATAAGAAATAAATTGGTATAATTTGAAAATACCTAAATTTAGAAAAAATTTTTAATCAAAAAAAATATACTATTAATTTTTTAGTAAATTTTTTAAATTTATAGTCAACTTTTCTAAGTGCATGCTTTGGGAATTAAAGATAAATATGCATTTAAAGAGGGTGTGCATTTAGAAGTCTTATTAAACAAGAAGTCACGTTATTATACCGGGTGTTTAATAAGCTTCTTTTTGTTAATCAGTGAGAGATCAACATGGGGTTGGTCCCAACGTGAGGTTAATTACTGAATTAGTATTTTTAATGATCAGCGGACCTTGGTTATGAGCATAACCACCCATGAACCTAGTATAATCGCCAAGATCAGAGTTTCAATGATTAGTATGACGACTCTGTAATATTAATAATTTAAACTTTGATTTTATTTTTTTCGTGCTATACATCAAAAGCCAACCAGTCTATTTGAAGCTAAGGCTAATAAAAAGACCTGTATTAAAACTTAAAGGAGGCATTGAGAAAATCTTACTACACGTACTATCAAAAACGGGAAAATGTCAGTGGATAATAAGTAGCGCATATTTCTTCGTTTTGTTAAGCAGTTTTTTTTAGAGGACTAGTATTCGTACCCCCCACATTTGGTATCCGTACCCCCCTAGCAAAAAATTAAAAATTTGAAAGTTCAAGTAAAGATATCTTGATGATTATCTAATTAAATTCAATAAACTTTTTTTTATTTCAATTCTATGAATACATAGAATTCAAATAAAAAAATTTTCATCAAAATTGATTAGATGGTTATCAAGATATCTTTACTCAAAGTCAAAAAAAAATTAAAATGTCTATCAAAATAGTTATATTAAATTTTATTAAATCTTTGAATAAAGATATCTCAACAGTTATCTGATCAATTTGATGAATTTTTTTTTATTTGAATTCTATGAATACATAGAATTCAAATAAAAAAAAGTTCATCAAAATTGATTAGATGGTTGTTGAAATATCTTTACTCAAACATTTTTAAAAAATCAAAACATCTATTAAAATAAAAGCTGTGTCAAAATTTTATTAAAACTTTGAGCAAAGATATTTCAACAATCGTCTGATCAAATTCAATGATTTTTTTTTATTTGAATTCTATAATTTTATAGAATTCAAATAATAAAAAATTCATTGAATTTGATCAACTGGTTGTTGAGATATCTTTGCTCAAAGTTTTAATAAAATTTTGACAGTTTTTATTTTGATAGATGTTTTAGTTTTTTAAAAATGTTTGAGTAAAGATATCTCGACAACTATCTGATCAATTTTGATGAATTTTTTTTTATTTGAATTCTATGAATTCATAGAATTCAAATAAAAAAATTGCATCAAATTTGATTAGGTAGTTGTTGAGATATCTTTACTTAAAGTTTTAACAAAATTTTGATACAACCTTTATTTTAATAGATGTTTAGGTTTTTTAAAAAAATTCGAGTGAAGATATCTAGACAACTATTTGATCAATTTTAATAAATTTTTTTTTATTTGAATTTTATGAATCCATAGAATTTAAATAAAAAAAAATTTATTAAATTTGATCAGATAGCTATTAAGATATTTTCATTCAAAGTTTAAAAAAATTTAGTATAACTATTTTAATAGATATTTTGATTTTTCTTCAACTTTGAGTAAAGATATCTTGATAACCATCTAATCAATTTTGATAAAAATTTTTAATTTGAATTCTATATATTTATAGAATTGAAATAAAAAAAAGTTTATTGAATTTAATTAGATAGTCATCAAGATACTTTACTTAAACTTTTAAATTTTTAATTTTTTGTTGAAGGTACAAATACTAAATGTAGAGAGTACAAATACTAGTCCCTTTTTTTTATTAATCCTTATGGATCATGAAATTGAAATGAGAAGTTTCTATTTGACTCCCAAAATCCAGTTATATTTGTTTATTCTAAATTTTTTAAACTCTAATTCTAATACTAAAAAAATATTAAAAGAAATATACTTAAAAAATTGTATTTTGCAATGGCTTGTCTATTTGATATTATTATTTATTTATTTTAATCTCATTTATTATAAAATTTTTATATTCATTAGCCAAAAATCTAATAATTTAGATTCAAAAAAATTCAAATCATTCTCTTCTAAACAAACTAAGTAAGATCATTTATACATTAAAGCCAATTAATTATTTAAATACAATAATATAGCTGAAACAGATGAAGAAGATACTAAAGATCTGAAACTTAATTAAAAATTGTAAAAAATTAATTATAACAAATTATAATATATTGTATTATATTTTGACTATTTAGAATATTTACTTGTTTTTATCTGTCATTTTTAATTTTGACTATCATTTATTGTTATTAATATGGTATTAGTATGGATTGTATAAGATATAAACTATAAAATTTATACTGTTCTTAATATTAAAACATTCAGTACAAAGCTGTAAAAATTTACAGGAGAGGGATAGTTTAGACTGTGAAATATGATACTTTATTTGCATAGAATTTATTAGTTATATATATATAATCTTGTCTTTTGACCTTTCAAAATAAAAAAACATAATGTTTAAACTATTAATTCAAAAAATAATATATTTCAAAAATATAAAAGAAATTAAAATATTCTAAATTGTCTATATAAAAGATTATGTTGAACACTTTTTTCATTTCAGGAATAAAAATTAGTAGTTGACTATTTATCATAATTATTTAATGAATTTTAGTAATTTGTGAATAATAAAATATATACATTTTGTATAAACATTCATAGAAAATTTGCAAATATTCATAGAGAATTCACAGATATTTATTAGAACTTAATCTTCTCAAGTATTATTATGAATATGTGATTTTACTAAAAAATCTTTTCATTTAAGAACTTAATCTAATCTTGTGTTACTTCTTAAAGAAGGTATTCAAGTTAATATACATTCATATTTTTTATTTTTGTAATTTCAAAGTTAGTTATAAACTCTATTGGTCAAAAATGCTATAAGAAACCTTTCAAATTTGTATTCTTTTATAAGTTCAAATTAAAAATATATTATTTTATTTATTTATTTTTTTAATATTAATGATATTATTTCATTTATATATATATCTAATTTATTATATTTATTACTTTTTTATTTTAAACTAGCATGTGACCTGTGTCTCTGGTTTAGAGTTTATATGATTTTATTATTTTTTATCTATATATTGTATGTATGTATATATAGATTATGTGGTTAACTATTTAGAATGTAATTTGAATAGATAAGTAATATTGGTTTTTTTTAGTATGTGTGTATTTATAAATGTATTATTGTTTAGAAATATTAATATTTTATAATATAAGAGAGAGTCAGGTATTCTGGCATAGATGGATATTATGTTTTTTTTATAATATTTTGTGATATACTAATTAAAATTGAATAAATTTAGTACTATTTGTTTTATTATACTGGGATGAATTGAATAGTATAAAAATTAATTAATTTTGATCATTACTTGAAAAAAGTTAGATATTATGGTATAATTATTATGCTGTTTTTCTTTTTTTAGGAGACAGTTGCAGAAATAATTACATACATAATATGTAATAGTAAAATACAAAATATAAAAAAGAATATTTATGATATGAATATTAACATGTATAGTATGTTACATATAATATTATTCAAATGAAAAAATATATTACTATTTAGATAGATTATGAAAATATTAAATTTTTTTAAATATAAATTTTTTTTTTTTTAATTATTAGATAGGAGATTGAATGTTATTTTTTTTGATAGATTTTGTGAATAAATATGTTTTTTTTTAAAAAAAATTTTATTATTAGCAATTATTAAATATGTTATAATACTTGATTCTGCTTTATAAAAAAGATTTTATTTAATAATTTGTTTAACTATTTAATAATACTTCTTGATATATTATATTTAGAATAATGTTATTATTATTTGGAGGTAGAAGGATTTTTATAAAGTGTAGTCAGGTATAATAGAATAAAGTTATGTAAAGTTAATCATAAAAGAAAACAGAGTTTCTAAGATCTAGGCCAATATATTTTATGAATTGACCTTGTTATTTGTTTATAGTAATTACAAAAGCTAATTGAATAAGGAATTGGCATTGTTTAAGTTTAAATAAAAGTTCAGAAGTTGAAAAAAAGAAATATATAAAATAAAGGTCAAATAGTCAGCATAGTCTTCAGTTAAGATACAGGCTTTGATTATGTGAGTATTAAGTTTTGTTATAACTAATTAAGAACTATTACAGAGATCTTGGCAAGATGCTAAGTTTCATAAAAATATAATAGGGCATCCAATTTTAAGTTTAAATGTTAAAGGTGACATGTCAGTAGGTTTAAAAAAATTCAAGTATTTACTAAAATAGGAATCATTATTGTTATTAACTTCAGATATTATATTGTCTGAACTTAAGAATAGTTGTTTTTTTTTAGGAAATATATTAAGAATAGCAAAGTTGATATCATCAATATCAATGTTACAAGAGGAAAATATCATTCAATCTTTTAAGTATTAATTGGTATATATATTTTTAATATTAATGTTATAATATATTAATTTAATAAGAATATTTAAATCATAATTGGCATTAAGTATTATATTTTCAGAAATGTTGATAATGTTATTTAGTTCAGATGTATTTGTGTCATTGTCAATCTAGATGTGAAGTAAGTAGTGAAAATAAGTTTAATGTATGAATAGTTAAATTTGAGTTTAATATTAAGAGTTTACTTTTAAGAGTCATTTACAAATTTCTAGATTTTAATAAATTTAGATTAGAGATATATGTTTTTTTTTAATATATATATTTTGATTGATTGCTATAAATATGATTTTTGAAGAGAGGCAGATACAATTTGTTCTCAAAAGCCTTTAGTTATAACAGATAATATTTGATGAAAATCACTACTAAATACTATTGTAATTCTTCTGAATAGATATGAGTCATCATAAATGTTTTGTAAAATACAGTTGCCAAATTTAGTACAGTTATAATATTGCATTGAGATTTCATTCCAGATGATAAAAGATATTTGTCACAATAAATTGGCAAGATCAGAGTTTTTGTTAATTGAATATAAAGAATCATTATTAATGTCAAGAGGAATTTTAAATATTATATAAGCTGTTCAATCACCATTAAATAAAAAAGTAACAATACTAAAGAAAGCAATACAGATTACAATTTTGTGTTAACTATAGACTTTTATTACTAGAGTATTGTATAAAAAGGTTTTACTAGTTTCAGCAAGTTTATTTAAAAAAAATAAATTGTCTTCTTTTGTTACAGAATCAAAAATATCTTAATATGCTGTTTTTTGTTTAATATTTATTTGAAAAATACAATTGTCTGACATTTTTTAAAGTTTATTATAGTTTCAATTTAAATGTTTATTAATAAAACAGTTTCCTTAGTAGTGACCCCAATTATATTTTCATTAGAGTATGATAAAAAACATGCTAAGAGAATAGTTTAACTTATATAAAATTTCATCAAAAAAAAAAAAAATCAAAATTAAATATATGAGATTCAGATAGATTTTAAATATTATATTAATTAGTTAAATAGTAATGAAGGTTATTGCAAAGATTCTTATAAAAACATAACTATAAATTATGAGGTTGGGTTGAAGTGCAATGTATAAGCATGATAGTAAAAAGTGATCTTAGTTGAGCATTACTATATATGATTACAGCTTCTGTTAAGTATTGTTTCTATTTATTGTCATCTTCTAACAAACCTAATGCAATACATATATCTTTGAATATTAGGTAAATAGTATTATTGATTGTTTTCAAATGATCAAATAATTGAGGATCATGAACTTTAGTTAGTAGAAGTCTTAAATAGAATTATTCTTCAGCAAATGAATTAGTAAATTATAATCTACTAATTGCAAAACTTTGATTTCATAATTTCTATGTTTTATTAGATTTATTTCAAGTAAAGTGTTGGGAAAATTCTTGGTAGGTGTATTGACAAATAATTTTAAAAGTTTTATACATTTCAAAGAATACTGTTAATATAGTTTTTTGTTAGTTAGCATGTGCAAAAATCTGAACAGCATTATTATTTGGATTATAAATAATTGTATACATTTCTAGAAAATGTAATACTAGTTGTACAATATTAGGTATTTTTTTGTACATACTGAATTCTAAAAGATGCCAAATAGCTTCTGATGCACTTATATATTTTGTATCAATATATTGTTTAATTTCATCAGAATCTTATTCAAATTGGATAATAGTTTGGTCATAACCTTTATAAATACTGTATATTTATGAATATATTTTACAGCATGTATAGATACACAAATTTTGATATTTATATGGCAATTATATTTATAACTAAGAGTTGGATTGTATAATACTATATTTTGATTATTAACAGTTTTGTTACTAATATTAAAAATTTGTTTATTGTTTCATCTTTTATAAGCAGGATAATCATCTGTATCTATTAATGTTATATTACAAAATTGTTTTAAATAATTTTTTTTGCATTTACTATTTTTTATATATGATGCTTGAGAATTGTGAAAACTACATGAACCATAAATTATATAATATAATATGATGCTAAATAATTTTAGATCTGTTTTTTGATTAGAGAATTTAATACTTATAAGGCAATTTACATTAGCAGGTTCTTTTATTTTATAATCTTTGTAAAGAAATATTAAAAAAGTATATATATGAAAGATCACATTTTTGAAATTCAATCATATAAACATATATAACAGTTTTGCCAAGAAATTTTTTTTTGATATCTTTGAAAAATGATTGTCATTTTAATTCAAATACATGTGTTATTAAGTTTGGATGATCTGATAATGTTTGGTCAAATAATAGTTCATTGATAATTTCAGGCCAACTGAGTTTGTTGTTATAGTTCTAAAAATATCAGAGTGTTGATAATATTGAATAATAGCTATTAAATTTTGAAAATTTTCAAATATATAATATAAGCTACTGATATGTGTAAAAAGAAGAATTATTCAATATCTAAGATTATTAAGTGATAATTCTCTATTTGTGGTTTTTTTTATAGCATCTGCAAGTTTTTGATATTGATCAGCTTGTAGTATACTTTGATTATTGTGTAGGTATCTTAAATAATTTTGTTCTGTTGTTGCCCATATATTGATTATAAATTTTTAAAATAATTTGTCTCCTTAGAGAATTGTTGAAAATTCATTGTATAAAAAAAGATGAAAAAAAAAAATTGGTTTTGCATAAGCTAATTATGTCAGTTTAGTTATTTGTATTTATTTAGTACAAATTTTTATAACATTCAAGTTCACTATATAGAAAAAGAAGTATATAATGTAGTAGTAAATAGACAAGATGTTCTTCATAAATATGTTTAAATAAGTTATTACATAATTGAATAATTATATTATGCATGCTTTCTGGTATAGATTTGTTATCTGATAAAAAAATAGCTATTTTATCTACAATTAGAAAGTTGTAGTAATGTCTATTTATTGTATCAGTATAGTGTAAATAAATAGCTAAGTTTGTATTAGAAGTATTTATTGTTTTAATCAAGTTGAAAAAGGATTTTATAAGCTTAATCATATAGCAGATAAAATGTATAATAAGTGTATAAAATGTTTTATATTTTTTACATTATTTGTGATAATAAATTGTTATTATAATCTATTTGTAATAAATGTATGATTGCTGGATCATATATATAAAGTTGTACATATTGTAGATTTTTCCTATTGACAGAAAAGAATAAGTTAGATAAATAATATAATTTTTTGCTAATGCAAAAACAATATAAACTGTATCTATATAGAACTGTTTATCAATATTGACTCTTACTGATATAAATGCATGAGTAGCATTATATTAACAGATATTTGTACAAAATTCTTTAGCTTCATCATTATTATTTTCAAATAGATGTTTTAATAACTTTTTCTTAATGACAGCATGATCCAAATTTAAAGCTTTGGATCGAAAAATTTATTAATTGTTCATCTAACTAATAAAGAGCACTGCAATGAGTATATTTAATGTTCATATAACTAAGATCATGTCTTTGGTTCATTTTTGCATATTCTTTTCTTTGTAATTGTGTAGTTCTTTGTTTATTATTCATAATTACTTTGCTATTTATAAAGTTGATATTATTAAAATATTTGAATACTAAAAATTAGTTTAATGATGTTAAAAAGAAATAAAGTAGGTTTTTATATATTTTTACATATTTATATGAATAACTTTTTATTATAATTTAATGTTATATCTTTATTTTGCATCTTTTTTATTGTGTCTAGTTTTAACATATCATTATTTATTTATTATTGTGATTTATATATTATAAATATTATATGTAAAGTTATTTTATTAAAAAAATTACTAATAGAGTTAATAAATTAATAAGATCAATAGATAGGACTAATAGAGTTAACAATGCTAATGATGCTAATGGTTTAATAGTGTTAATGGTGTAGCTAATAAAATTAACAAACTTAGTAAAAAATTTAATAAAATTAATATAGTCAATAAGATCAATAAGTTTAATGGAATCAATAGTACTAATGGTGCCAATATTATTGATTAACAATAATACTGTCTTTATATATATTTATATACATTTTATATATTTGAAATAAATTAATTTTTTGTGTATTTATTTAATTTATTTATAAATTTCATACAAAGTTTTTTTGTCTTTTGGTAATATTATAGTATTAAAACAATAAATTTTTTATTTTTTTTTAAATATTAAGTTGAGTATATGCGACTCAGAATTTTACTGATAGTATAAGTTGGCCAATGCCTGTATATGTACAGATGCAGAGGCAATTACAGAAAGAGTATACAACTAGCCACTTGTAAAACTTTAATCATTGTCTAATTTAAGTAGTTTACCTGAAGGTTCTATACTAGTTGCTATACCTAGAACCTACCTGTAGATCCTCTATTTAAACACTCTGATTCTGCATCCACCATACTCTACCAGCAACTCTGGTAAACCAGTGAAGATATGCCATAATCACTAAGTCATATTTAACTTGTACTAAACCTATCAGTGCATTCTGTATCCTATACTTATAGCTCACCTAGTTATGCTTTGGTCTAAACCATTACTTGCAGTTAGGGCTAACCATTAAACTGCTTTTTATCTTTGTAAAGTTCACCCAAAACCCTGGTACCTATCTTTCTGATATCTTCTCTATCATCCCCTACTAACTGCTACTCAGGACTAACAGAACTCCTCGGACTTCCAATCCAGATGGCCTGGTATGGTATACCTTAGTATCTTTTTCCTCTGACGATTCTAGCAGCCTGGTTGGTTATATGCTCCTCTATACATCTTGCTATCTGATTTATCTACCTATTTCTTTGAAAGTATTTCATAGGCTTTCATCAGTCTGACAGTACTGTCGAAAGTTTTGTGCTACCTCCTTGCTTAGAATTTTCAAGTGGATTTCTGACTCTTTAGTTCCTTTGCTTTTTGCACCTGGTGGTCTTATTATAGTTTTGCACCAAAGTCTTATGCAATACCAGTTATTGACATTCCTCTATGTAGGTGTAACATTACACTTAGTATAAATGCTCTAAGTTCCTATTCAAGATGGTGCAACAAAGATTACAGATACACTAATTCAACTGATCAACAGAGATAGTTATCATAACACAGACCTATTTTCCAAAATTTGTCGTTTATAGGATTTGAACTCTAGATCTGCCACTTGGGGATTGACAACCTGACCACTTCACTAGGTCGCCATACCCCTTAACAATGAATTTTTTAAAAATATGTAATTTGATTAGTTAATAATTAATGACTAATTATTATAAGTAAATCTATAAAAATTGATTATTTAGACAACTTTTTTATAAAATCAAGAAACATGTTATTTGGTGATTTATAATAAGTAATTTGATTTAATTAATTAATCAGACAGATAAAATCATTTGATATAAATAATTTAATTTAATTTATAAATACAAATGTTGAAATTAAATGATTATAATTTAAAAACATTGAAATTTTTAATTTTTATCAGTATATATTACTATTTGTAATATCAAAAACATAGTGAAATGAAATATACTAGGATAGTAAAATGAAGTATATAGTTTACAGGCAACTGTTTGTATACAAAATCTTTAATCTTATTGAATAAGGTATTTAAATTTATCATTAGAGATACTGAATATTAAGGATAGCTTTTTATCTATTTATATACAGCTTTAAAATTATATATAAATGTTATATCTTAAATTAATGCTGATCTATATATTTTAAGTACTATAATAAATGTGTAAAATTTTTACTCTAAATTTTTTTTATTATTAGTTATAAGTTAAATTTATTTAGTAATAACTAAGTTTAAGATTAAATATAATCTCTATTATAGTATTTATATCTTTTTTAAGAATTCTAATTTAATTTGTTTAATAATCAACTCTATGAAATCTAAAATAAATTGGTAATGCAATCAAAATTTAGCATTTTTATTATCTTAAAAATGAAATTTGTATTATATTTACATTAGATACTATATAAAACACATTGTTTATTTGCCTATTTAATAAAGTAACATTCTGTATGCTTCCTAATTAAATAATAAATTAGTGTAATTATAATAGGCATCTGCTTTTTTTCTAAACACTCATTTCACTGACATGCTATTTATTTAATATCTATATGCAATAATTTATTATTTTATTAGTCACAAATTATATTTTAATAAATTATTACTTAACATGATATAGAGTAAATATTTTGTTAGTAAAATAACTGTAATAGAACTATTATAATGATATATCTTTCTTTAAATTTTTATTATCATTAATATGCATAATTAAACTTTTGATTATAAATTTATTAATTTATTACATTGCTTTGATCTTTTCACCAATCTCATATCTAATTACAAGTAATTTGTACTACTATAAATTTAAACTTGTAGTTAAGATTTTTGAACTAGGTTTGGTTTTCTTACAATTAGCTTATTTCAAAATTTATATTTCTGGTTTTGCATGACAGTATCATGCAGCTACTTTATAATATGTATTGTCAAAAAAAATAATAGCTTGTATTGTTTTAAAGAAGGCGTAAAATTCATTATTTAATCATTTGAGTTATGTACCATAATTGTAAATTATTATATGAATAATTAGAATTAGATTTCAGAAATACTAAATACTAAATTTTGCTGTAGATTGTTTTTTAAGTATTTATAAATACTATATATATTTTTATATAAGAAGTTGATATTTATTCAAATTAGTAATTATGATCAATTCACTTTAGTTAGTTTATTGATATGAAGTATTTTATATTATTTAATGCTTTATTATGATTAGTCTATAAATAAATCATTTTATAGAATTTTTTTTATATAATAAAATTATTTAAACATAAATAAGATTTTTAATAATGATAATAAATAAATATAAAAAAAAAGATGATATTAAATATAAATGTAATAATTTGATATATGTTAATATTATAGTATTACATAGTTAATAGTATTCATAGTCAGAAGAATAATTTGCTTTTTTAATACTATATGTATTTTAGTTATTATGTTTGCTAGTGTTTTTTTAGTGTTATTGTTATTATTTACTTCTTTATTTGTTTGAATAGGATTTTCTGTATCTTGTTAATTGTTTGTATCTTGTTTATTTGTTTCTTGTTAATTATCTGTTTCTTGATTATTTGTTTCTTGTTAATTTTCTATTTCTTGATCTTCATTATTATTATTATCATCAATAATATTAACAAAATTAGTATTTTTTTCTGATTTAAAGGTTTCTTGTAATCTTTTGTATTTTAGTGAAATTGTATAAATATGTATAAGTTTGGATCACATAGGGTTTGTCAAAAATAGTTCAATGCTAGTAGCTTCTTTTTTTTTGATAAGAAAATTAGTATCAATGTCATTAGCATAAATATAAAATTTATTATCTATAATTTCAATTTGTTCAATTATAAAAATAATTGATTCTTGTAAACAAATTGTTAATTTGAGATGTTTAAACCAAAGGTTTATATATAGAAAGACTACTTTGACAATATAATCAAGGGATTGTCCAATATAGTCAGATATAAGTATTTGAATAATAGAGTTTTCAGTATCTTTAATTTCAATTGGCATTTCTTATAGAACTTTTACTAAAAAAGTTTTTAAAAAGCATTTATTTGATTCTGAAACTTTATTAGTAATTGATAGAGAAGCTGAAATAGTAGCAATTATCTAAATATTAAATTAATATTAATATTAATTTTGTAAAAAGGATTAAATTAACAAAAAAATTTTTTTATAAATTTTTAAGATTATATACTAAGATTATTTGTTTCTTAAATAAAAACTGTTTTTAGACTAATTTTGAATTAGTTAAGCTTACAAAAACTTTTATTTTTCTTAGTATTTAGTTTATATCTTAGTGTACTAATTAGAGATATCTTATTTTAAGAGAATTAATAATTAATTTAATAAAAGATTTTATTTAAAGATAATAAAAATAAAGTAATAAAAAATATTAGAATTAATAAAAAACCTTCAACTAAATTAATTATTAATTTATAATAATAGCACACTAATAATTCTTTATACTAACTTTTTCCTAAAAGTCTGATTTACAAAAACTATAGTTATTATATTACATATAACAAAACTCTACTTTGGAGTAACTAAGATTAGAGACTATTTACTGCATATTGTTTATAACTAAAAAGAGCTAAAAAAGACTTAAACTCTTGTAAATAAAGTCTCTTAGTATAAAACTTAAGTATTACTAAGCAAAGAAGTAGTAGATAAGCTTTGAAGCTTTGTTAAATACTATAAGAACTTAGGCCTAAATAGTTATTTGGTTTAATATAATACTCTATATAGCATAACTCTTACAACTTTTTTACAAATTAGTTATATCTTCTACTCTTACTATTGGATTTTCTCTTGAAATTTTTACCAAAAAGTAAAAAATCTGGTATACTCTTTCCAAAAGATCAATACTGTTTATCTTTTCAAATCAGTAATAATAATTATGAGAAAGTCACAATATTACATACATGATCTATAATAAATAACATATATCAATCTTAAGAGGAAAACAAAAACTTTGATCTTTCTCTTTATA